TCGCAGGGCCTCACTATTCGCCCCTCTCTCCAGGGCCTTCCAACTGCCACTCTGGTGCAGGCCGCTAGGTGCACCTCTGCACCCCCACCTCCACTACATACTCCGCCCCTATGCTGGGGCCTGGGATCAAACACCCCTGCAGGCTCCAGTGCCCCTCACTGGCATGCCTGGCCCACCAGTCTCACTCTCTGGGGGCCTGCACCCCACATGGCCACAGCTGTGCCTGGCCCCTCTGTTCACTCTTAAGGGTCCTGTACCCCACACAGGCTCAGGTGGCTGCAGCAGTGCCTGGCCCCATTTCACTCTCCGGGGTCCTGCCCCCACACAGGCTCAGGTGCCACACTGGGGCACACCTGGCCCTCTACTGCCATCGATGATAAATAACCCACCTGAAAGCAGGGGCTAGGGGTTAACTAAACACCTGTTTATTACATATTTTTAGTAGATGAACTCAATGTCTTTTTGGCAAACGTTTTCGCTGTGCCCTCAAACCAGACAGCATTAAAAAATTCTTGAGACACCTTAGAGAGCATCACCCCCTGGCACGTGCAGCCCAGCCCTGCTGTAAAGGAACCTCCCCTTCTCGTGCCCAGTAGAATGAGGAACCTCCCACCCTAGGCATCCTTCTGACCTCGTGGTCCCGGTAACAGGACTTACAGCCCCTTCCCCCACCGCCAGGCGGCCCAGGCCCCGTGCGGCGAGGCAAGCCGCGTGTCTAGGACATGACTGGCCCTTTAAGGGGAACCCCCTTTCCCGCCAATTCCCGCAGGACACCTGCCTGCTGACGACATCTGGGGGCGGAGCCTGGAGGCCGTTTGGGTCACCCCGGGAGAGCGCAAGCTCCGCCTTCTTCCCTGCTGGCGGGCGGCGGAAATCTCGCGAGCTTTCGGCGCGGCTTCCTCTCCCGTCTCTCAGGCTCTCGCGAGAGTTGGGGGCAGCGGCGGCGGCCGGGCCTACGTGGAGAAGCCAGTAGTAGCGGAGCCCAGCGGGGTAGGTGTCCGGCCGGAGCGAGGCGGAGCACCGTTGGAGCCGTTGAGGGGGGTGGGCAGCGCTGCTCGGGGGGGCCGTTCGTGGCGGGGCGCGCAGCAGCGCCCCGCCCCCGCCCTCAGTGGTATCTTCCGGGCCGCGAGGCGGGAGGTAAGCCGGACACAGCTGGGGTGGGGGGGGTGAGGTGGCTTCAGTGCGGTCCCTCCCCTCCGGCTCCCCAAGTGTCACCTGCTCCCCCTCAGCACCGACCTGCCGAAAGTTGAGATTTGGTCCTGGGAAAACCCCTTGGGAGAAGGGCTCGACTGACACTTCGAATTCTGGGTGGGGTCTGCCAACAAAATTGGGCTGCCCATCACGATACCCTAATAAAATTGGAGGCCCCCTGTTACAGGGGGGCTCTCATCTCCTATGGGGGGCTCAGGCCCCCCAAACTCACCCATAATTCAAACCCTGCTTGGGAGCACAGCACTGAGGGGTTGTAGTGGAGAAGTAAGACTGGAAGGGACCTCAAGAAATCACCTGTAGTCCAGCACCTGCAGCCTTGGTGGTGTTAGTACCACACCAACCAGCTGAGCTCAACGTGCACATCTGTTTCTTCTGAACAGCAGCGTCGTGGTGTGAATTTATTGTATTGCTTTTTATTATTTTTTATTTTATTTGTGTGTTTGTGTGTGTGTTGTTTTATTGGGTTTGTATTAATTAATTTTAATTTTTTTTTCAACGTGAAGCTTAATGGTGTGATCCTTATCCCAGCAGATCTTACAGCTCTCATCTGGTAGCCATACAGACATTGTATTTAGACCTGCACAGTTCAAGGACACTCCACATGCTTTCATGTTTCATTTGTCTCCAAGCAGATTATGCTTTGAATAATCTCTGGGTGCTGACTGATTTACGCAGGTTTACTTCTTAATAAATTAAATGCCGCTATCATATTTCTTTTTTCTTTTTACTTTCTGTCTGTCATTTTGTTTGTATTTTGCTTGACAGCCTTGCATATTTGGGGAGAATGATCAGTTGAAGATGGCTTGGTCCTTCCCACCATAAAAGTCCACCCTGGATATCACTTGGTTCTCCTCTTCTTTTTCCCCAGACATTTAGATTTGCTTCTCTTCTGCTCCACTGGTGATCTTTGCATCCTGGCTGATTTCTAGTTCTTGTCCACTCACAGGCCAACTTCTCCATCCTTAGTGACTTCGTCCTTAATGACTTCAATGATTAGCTGGATTTGATGCTCTGAGCAGTGCTCTTGAAATTTTCGCCCTTCCTTTAGTTTTTCATGAATGTGCTCTTTCCTTTTTCTCCGTGTATCTCTCTGAACTACTTTTTTTTATTGAGATTTCCAATCTCTGCTTTTGCTCCAGCTTTCAATAGGATTTTTTCAGATCTCTTTTCCTAGACCTCTGTTCCCTTTGTAGCCTGTTGCTGGATGATCTCATTCTAAAAGAAGGCTTTAATTGCCACCTTCATATTAAGTCACATATCTTCTATACTGTGTCAGACCTGGTTCCTCCCATCCAAACTAGAAGCCTCCTGCCTTTTTTATATTGCGTTGTTGTACCTGGCTGTCTACTCAAGCACAGGATAATCAAAATAAGATTCTTGGTCCCAGATTCTATTTCTTCTCTAGGAGGTCTGAGTGACATTTATGTGGCTTCTAGGTGTCGTAAGTCACTAAAAATTATCCTGTTTCATCCTGCTCGGTAGTCATAAAACTGATATGGACACCCACATTACTTATGCACCTCCACTTTGGCCTGAAAAGATCTTTAGGCTTGGGCTCCTGTGCAGTGATGCGAGTCAGCTGCCCAGGCTTCTCACTCCTGCCTAATCTCTGTTGCAGTCTGTTTCTGCTGGGTAAATTCATAACTCTGTATATACCCCTTATTCTTTAGAGGGAAAAGCCCCACCCCCCTTCTGAGGCAGGGTGGGTTTTATTTAAATCAAATTGAATCAACTTAAATGATTTAAATCACTGGTCAGGAAGCCTCAATTTAATCACTGTTTTCTACAAAAAGTGCATTCTTGTTGTTTGATATCCTGTATTCATTTAACTTCTTGAAACTTTGCACTTTTAGAGAGGTAAGGGCTTGACTCTGTGTACACAAACTTGCCAAGAGATAGGGCTGATGGGTAGGTAATCAGGTCTGTTATCATTCATCTCCATATATTGCTGTTAACAAGGATATTATCCCTGGAGACACAAATCCACAGTTTTGAGAACTGAATTTAAGAATTGCAGAGATGCTTAATGGGATCTTCTAGACTGAGCACTGAATCCCATTGGGTAGAGTGGTTTTCCTTAATCTTCACTAATCTATAAAGGACCCTTGGGGAACCCCATAAGATTGGGTCCCTAATATAGTGTATGGCCTGTTGGACCTATTTATAAAACCTTTCTGAAAAGGTTACAAGAATATACTGTCTCAAATAGTGCATAATTAAAAGTTATAGTTCCTATTCCACATTGATGCCTTTTGAGCTTTAACACATTTTAAATTAAAATAGCGTTATGTAGCTTTTTTTAAAAAAAGCATCTTAACAAAAAAACCTGATTTACATTTTTAAAAAAATCTTTTTTTTTTAAAATTTTAAAAAATTGATTTTTTTTTTATCCACCCTGTTTTGAGGGGTGTAGCAAGGAATTGTTGTGTAGCAAAGAAGAGTTTCATTCTGTCCTGTGGAAGATGGGCCACTGGGCCAGAAAGAGATGCAGGAGTTATGGAGCTGCAGGTGGAGCATTCAAAGTGGAGCCTGACTAGGCTGGTGAGAAGGGCACTCAGTATTTAAGAAGGGAAAGAAGCCTCTGCTTCCAGAACTGTTCATGAACTTTCTCTAATGTCAAGTTAAGATTTATACTTCTTGGACTAGCAGCAGCAAAGTTTCAGACATTATAAAGGAAGATAGAATCTGGGTCTTGATCTCAATCTGTAGCCAAGGACATCAGTGCCATTGTTTCTGATGCATGGGCCTGTAATCTTGGCTTCATCTTTGACTTGCTCCTTTCTCTGAAGCCACTTATCTAGGCTGTTTCTAAAATTAACTTTTTCCAGTGTGGCATCTCATAATATTTGGCCTTTCTTGTCTATCCACATGGTTAAATCTGTTGTTTATGGCCTTGTTATATCATATCTTGACTACTGCAGTTTTTTTTTCTGTAAAAGTTCTGTGTTTTACCTCCATCCTGTTTATAACCTCTTGTGCTGTTTGACCATTGATTTTTTGCTTTACCTTGATGGCAGTTGTGGTTGCCCATATATCATGTTTTCTTACAAGCTTTTATGTATGTTCTCCCATCTATAAGGGATAGCATAATAATCTTTTAGAAAATGGAAATTAACAATGCCCTGCCAGGTCATTGTCTTGTTCTTCCTTTCATTCTTTCCTTAAAATCTACATGTTTTCTAAGCATCATGGTATGTGACAGTGGTTAAGCAGCTAGTCTTTAATTAATTGTAACTGTCTTGTCTGTAAGTTCCATATTTTTAGACTGTAAATATGTGGCTGGGACTATTTCTTATTATATGTGTATTCTCTGGTACCTCCTGGCTCTAATATTTGCTTGCATTTTTGTTTCTACCTATATTATGTAAATCTCAGCATTCAGTTTAAAATGATTTGTAGATGTATACAGTAGCTTTGAGTCTTTCTTTTAGAACACTGCATTTTGTATAAATGGATATCTTTCCAAATGTATTCTCTCTCCAGAATGTTTAATTGTGTCTGAGAGCAAGTTAAGAATACAAGGTTGGTTGTTTCTTTGTTTGTAGCTTCACTTTTTGGACAGTAAGTCAAAAATTTATTTTCTTGTCTGTTGTGTTCTACTGAGCTAAGCACAAGCCTGTTGAAATGGTGCTCTCTTTTGAGGTAGTTGAAGTGTTGATACTTATGATTGGCCTTGTGATTTATTTGCTGGGCCACAAGCTAAGCCAGTAGCGATGGCAGCCAGCGTGCAATAGATAAATTAGTTACAGTCAAGGTTTTCTGGGAGTTTGGCTTTTGCTTCTGTTGAGTAGAATTAGGCTGATTGTAAATTTGAATGAGTCATTTGGAATTCAGGGAGCAATAGCAAAGGAAGCCAGTGCCTTGGTCATCTAGTTTTAGGTTTGTTCTGTTGTCGATTTCATTCCTTCCAGGCACGATAAAGGTAAATTTGGAAGAAAGTAGTTGATATATTCTATTCAGAGTGTTGTTCAGGTTGAGAAGCTTGTATGTTTCACTTGAGTGCTCCTGCTATCTTTTGCCTATCAGGGGAAGCTTTCTAAACTCCACTGAAATAGTACATGGGTACTATTTCAAGCCCTGAATTATTTGTATCTTATGTGACCTAATATTAGTCTTGCATTGCAAGAGATGGTTATAACTGAGGTTTTAATCAGTGTCAGTTTAATGATTAAAGTGCTTCTGAGGTTGGGTTTTAACATCAATGATTGCTAAAGAGTAATTTAGCTAATTTGCTTGACAAATGTGCAACTTTCAGTGGGTGATGCATGTGTGTGTGCCAGTAGTATAACCACTTGGCTTTCTGAAGATGTCCAGTTTCATTAGGACTGCAAGTACAGCCTTCTGATATTATCGTGTCCGTAATAAGGGTGTGAAAAGGAGTGCCATTCCCACTCCCATTTGTTTCCTTCTGACTGCTATAGGCACGGAGAAGGAAATTGATAGCCTCTCCCTTTTTAGGGAGTCAACATATCTTCTGATTTTTGGGAGCTCTCAGTTTCTTAAGAGACTATCTGTCATTGTATCTGGAATAAACTTGAGGAAATAATTAATGTGTTTGACACTTCAGTTGGAAGAGGCTTAGTGTAGTCGCCCACCAGTGATTCAGCTTACTGATGCTAGTCACCCGAATACTGACTCTATTCCTTTTCTTATCTACAAGAGTTGACAGGTGTTACTGGCTTTCAGATATTCTTATTTTCCAGCCCCCTGCTTCTCAGTTGTGAAAACAACTCACAACAGGTCAAGATAATCCCTCCCAACCCTGGTGATTTTAATAG